GTCATCCGGGGACTCTTGACGAGAATAATGCCCGGTTGGGAAAAGTAAGAACGATCGCCCAACGTCTGTAGGTTCCTAAACGCAGGCTATATGCCATAGGGAATAGGAAATCTCTCACACCACGCATACTGGCTAACGATTAATGAAACTTCGATCTTATTTTTTACTTAAATTTTTGTTTGATAAAATTTCCACTGATACCTAAATAACGCAAGTCGTTCCGTGAATCACCGGATCTGCGTGATGACGTCCTCCTTGTTGTTATTAGAAGGAATCTTACTCATTCCTTGCCAAAGAAATATGATATTGATGTATTTATGCGATTAAAAATATTAACATTAGCCTGTCCACTCTTGCTTTGAAGGTAACTACTAAATAATTGAACTATACTAGGAATAGTTAAATAAAAAAAAAACAATAAAACCCTCTCAACAAAACATTGGCTCTCTTTAGAAACAGTTCTGAGATTTTTCAAGTATAATTTTCCTGTATAAAATTCTGTCTGTTTAAAATTGGATACAATAGTACTGAAACAACTTAAATACATAGAAGTCAGGGCTGACCTAACACAATTCACGCTTGATTTGGCGAGCACTTGTTTTTCATTAGCGAGCCGAGAGTCGATCATTGCCAGCTCTATCTCCGTTAATTAAATATACTATACTAGCGGTCGGCAGCATCTCCGTTGGCGCGGAATTAAAAATTTAATACGTTGCCTATGTGTTTTTCCAGACTTTGTTCTACATCTATGCCAAATTTCACTGAGATATATGCAGCCGTTCTGGAGATACTTTCTAACAAACATCCAAACATTCGCATTTATAAAATTAGTCATTGTTTTTGTTTCTCAACTAGTTTAACCGTATTTCAATTTAAAACTTGTAGTTTGCCAATTCCTTGTTGAGCTTGTTAAATCAAATAAGAAGGAATCGCACAGAATTATTCTACTTCTAACAAGAAAGGGCTTTATATTATGTTGCAATCAAAGACCGTTTCAATTTAAAGGCTATGACTTTGATTTGACTCATTTCTTATCGATATGAGTATTCAAATTAACAGCTTAATGATTGTACTAATTAATATCTTTCCTTAGAACTTTACTATACCTTTAAATAACTATACTGAATTATTCAAACTTTCATGAGACATTATAATAACGCCGTAAGAGCGCAGGCTCGTAGTGAGCTGGGGGCCACGTCCGCGAAATAATACCAGTCCCGCTCACCCTGATGAAGGGCCCCCGATGAGCTCCAAACGAACGAATATACGTGTGTTTAACCGTTTTTATATAAGTTTAACTTTACTGAATTTGAAATAAAAAGTAATTGTTAATGTATACATTAACATATAACAAAAAGAATTTCTTTTATAACTTGCGTGCTACTAACAACTTAGCCTCTATTTATAACGCTGTGTTTTCTCAGAATCGGCGGCCATTTCGTGCGCTTCTCGGCGGCCATCTTGTTTACTGCGCCCGCGCACCACCGCGGCTAATGTTTATTTTACAAGTCTACGTAACGTGTTTTGAAATGATGCAAAATATTGTTATCACAACTGTATGTTTTGATAATATTTTGTATTGCACTCGCAAGTATATCAAGTTTCATTAAACATATGACAATCGTTAATATGTAGGAAGAGAAAAAAATGATTTTACTTAAAAAACAAAATATTTCAATCTAAACCAATAAAACAAATGAATAACTCAACAAGGTCTTTGAATTACGGTAGGTTTTTGAGACTAAAATCTCCGTTTAAAACATATTGTTATCTTTGTTTCGTCAAAGAATAAAGACAGGAATGTTTTATAAAAATGTTTTGGCCTTAAAAAACAACATTTAGACAATTTACAATTGCACTAGTAACTCAACAGTATTAGCAAACCGTTGGTTCCCATTCGCTTAATCCATGCACAAAGAAACAAAGAAAACAGTATGTTTTTGTAAGTTGTTAAGGCAGTGGAACCACACGGTAAATAATAAAGTATATCAAGCCAGTTCTGGCTCATTGCCAGCATAGGGTTTATCCAAAATCATCCAATTTCTGTTGGCCGCATCATGCCAGCTTACGTTAAAGCTGGGTTAATAGAACACATTTCTTTTCATACACTTGCCACGCGGTGGCTATTATTTGAAAATGTTATAACCGTATATTTGCATTAGAACGCATGTATGAAGACATTTTTGACAGAAGGAGGGATTCTTTCCTGGGGCATAAAGGAGTTTGCTTAACCATTAAGAATCAAGGAGTTATTCAAGCTAAACTAACATGCTATGTAGTTCTAACTAAGATCGATAGAACTATAACAATAAAAATATTAAACACATAACTGTGAAATGTAATTAAATGAATAAATCCTTCACGGCTGTTAAGAAAAACGATAAACGAAAGCATTAAGCTGGGCCTCGCGCTCGAGACATGACTTATGTCGCAATAAATAACTCCATTGTGTTAAGAATGCATCCGCGTTATGAATATAACGGATTTTAATAAAGAATTTAATGTCATATTAAATTTTGTAAATTAAGTTACATTGATTACCTTATGTTACTTATCTTACTTCTTAATAATATTATAAACTAGCTGTCGCCCGCGATTCCGTCCGCGTGTATATGTAAAAAAACTTAATATATAGATAAGTAAAATAAAAAAGCAGCTCTTTAAGGCATAAATTCGAACTAAAAATGAATAAATAGTATCCTATGTCCGTCTCCTGGCTCTAAACTACCTCCTCAATTTTCAGGCATATCGGTAAAGCCGTTCTTGAGTTATAAATATTGTAACTAACACGACTTTCTTATGTAGTTGCGAATGTTTAGATGGATGGATGTTTGTTAGAAAGTATCTCCAGAACGGCTGTATACATATCGCTGAAATTAGGCATAGATGTAGAACGTAGTCTAGGAGAACAACTAATTAGGATTTTTTTTTCATATCGCGCGGATGTAGTCACGGGCGAGAGCTAGTATTTCACAAATAGTAAAGTAATGCAATGTAATCATGCAAATTTATTATTGAGTTATTATGAAAGTGTAAAAATTTTAAACTATTGAAATACTAAACTTTTTAACGAGAAACCTGGTAGAGAGAAATCTCTATAAAAGAGAAATGTCAACTTAGACTTTAGCTTATCCTGGTTCGACTGTACTGAGATCATCGAAAATAGATGTGAGTGCAAAGATGTATGTAAAAGAAACAAGAGTGGTGAATACCAAATGGAGGTCAGTGGTCTCTGTCTACGTATCTATGATACAGGCGTGATGATGTTTTAAAACTTATAAGTCAAAATACAAAATATCTTAAAGAACAAAATGTAATCATGAGTTTTCAAACATATAGTTATCCCCGATATTCCACTTGAAAGGACAGAGATAAATGTATCTGTACAGTAAAGGCAGGCAGATGTATCTTTAAATTAAATATATCTTATTATTAAAACGAGCAGCCCCTCTTTACATTGTATCAATCAAAAGGCAGACGTATTATATTCGTGTGTACCTGAGTTGCGCGCCCCTGCATTTACAAGGGTCGCTTTTTTATTAACCCCGGATTACGTCGATGACAAGATTTCCTTGGAAACAACCGTTATGTTGTCAACTCGTCTATAAATAATTAATTATTTGTAGTCCTTTTTAAGGTACTTCATGTTTAAATTGTTATTTCGATGACGTTTATAGTACTAAGGTAGTCTAAATCATGCATATAATCTATCGTTCGTTTATATAACTATCTGCAAGTATAGTCAACTATACTGGTCAGGAATCCAAGTATGTGACATCCATTCTAACATATGTTTTTAACAAAGTCAATAGAGCAACCGTATCCATTGAGGGCGACAACATGCACAATGTTTTTATAGGTTTTGCGCAGTTTGTTTTATCACTTCATCTTACTAATATCATAAATGCGAAAGTTTAGATGTTAGTTTATTAGAAGGTATCTCCACAACATCTGTATGAATCTCGTAGAAATTTGGCAGGGATGTAGAACATAGTCTGCTAAAACACATAGGCCTCTAATTAAGTTTTTTTTATTTCTTTATATATGCCAAATTTCATCGCGATCTGTTCAGTCGTTCTAGAGATACATTCAAACAAATATCCATCTAAACATTCGCATTTATAATATTAGCAAGATTAAGATTTCAACTATTTTTTTCTTTTAAATATTTGGTAACAGCAAGAGCAAGTTTACATACAAAACCGGTTCCTAATTACACGTTATCTATTACCATTGAGTTTGCCTAAGAATTGTTGATAAGAGAAAGCTTTGCAAATCTTATGCAATAGTCTCGAGTTTAACCATTCTAATATTTGAATTAATAAATTTATCTAAATTAAATATGTATTTATCTGGACTTCGTTATAATTGAGAGGTTTTTTCACTGTATGTACGATATAAGCGTCAATAGCTGGTTAAGGGTACGGATTTCCGACCACGAGGTCGGGGGTTCGACTCCCGCCATTCGACTATTGTCGTAAACCATATCCTAGAGAGCTTAGTTGGAATGGTTAAAGAAATATTAGTAAATTTACAAAAAAATCTGCTTATATTTTACCATAAAAAAACTGTTTTTGTTTATATAACTTACGTAAGTGTAATAAATATACATACAGACCCTAATGTTATGTATTACTATGTTAAATAACTTGATATTAACTTGTGTTATTCACAGATAAACCATGGTAGCTTAATTTTTCATTAAAATGTTGCATTCGAAATCTCTATTTAAATGTTATTTCAATATTCCTATAAATAATCTTATTTATTTTAATACCTTAAAACATAACAATATCTCATAGAAATTATTTATTTCAATACACAAATTAAATCGTGAAACTTATCGTGAGTTTCTGAGATCGAAATCCCCTGTTTAAAACATTGTTATATCTGTTTTGTCAAAGATAATGACAGGGATGACGATATGTTTTATACAGACATTTTGGTCTCAGAAATCAACAGTTAGTACTGTATAACTAATTTGATCTTTCTCTCAACAGAGCGAGAAATGGCTGGCATACGAGAATTTAAAAGAAGAATTATTAGAGAAGATAAGAAAGATAGAAGAAGAACGTCATACAGTAGATCTATGGTCTTGCGGAGCTGAATGGGGCAGGAAACGACGGAAGAGACAGGTCGCAGTCTCTCCACCTTACGTGGTCTACATGCTACCGGATGCTGACATCATGGAAGACTGGCGACTGGTCAGGAAATTGCTGGAAAGAGCTGATTAGATTAACTAGGATAAGTCAGTCGAGTCACCATTAAAGTTAACATAGCTTCGGAATGATTGATAACAAAAAAGATGTTAACACGACAGTGAAATCCTATAGTTAAGGTAAGTTTCCACTGTCGTATTTTTTATACGAGTGTTACAACGTAATATTCAGATTTTTTAATGATATAATCATCATCATCATCATCATCAGCTCACTATACGTCCCCACCGAGGGGCTCGGAGCCTACCCTAAGTTAGGGGTGACTAGGCCATAGTCAACCACGCTGGCCCACTGCGGGTTGGTTGACTTCACACATATCTTTGAATTTCTTCTCAGATACGTGCAGGTTGCATCACGATGTTTTCCTTCACCGTAAGAACGTCGGATAAATGTACATATGTAAATCGAAAATCGAAAAACACATTGGTACATGGCGGGATTCGAACCCAGGACCTGCAGATTGCAAGTCAACCGTTAGACCACTGAGCCACCGACGCTCATGATATAATATTCAGAACCATTTAGTGACTAAATAACAGCAGTTTACAGTGAGCCTATCAGGAATATTTGCGACAAGCGTCTTCGAAACATTTTATGTCAAAATTAGTATTACATTTTTTGTGTACTACGCTATACAAATTTTAATACTTTTGTCGATGTCGATACGAAAGCAATTGTCACAAATATTCTTAATAGGCTTAAAGATATCAGTAATCCTATATTTGGTGACTTGACAATTTAAATATATTGATCTTCGTTCTAAAGAGATTGATTAAATTTAATTTTAAGAGTCGTTACAAAATATTAAACAAGTAGTCATAAAACAGACATAAGAAAAACAAAAAAAAAAACTTGAGTTCCACGGCCATAACAAGTGTATTGTTTTCTCTATTTTTTTCAAATAGATCGAATGAGATAGCAATATTTTACTATTTCAATCGATAAAACAATATGAAAATTAACTTTTTTAGTTAAATAATTACATTATTATTTTGTAACGTCTTTAATTTTTACATTATTTATTGTTTTGCAATGCTCCAAACTCATTGCTTGTGATTTTTAATTATACCTTTTTAAATTGACAACAACTTAAATAAAAAAAAACAATGTAAAGATATCGTATATTCATAATTTTTTTTGTGAACTTTAGTTTTAATTAAACATATGTTAGTATGGAAATTAAAAAAAAAATATTTTTTGTCCTTTCTATTGTTTTATTATGTCAAATTAAAAGTGCATTTCCACTGGCGAATATTATTAAATATATTGTTAATGCAAAAATACGACAAGTTTTTTTTGGTATCTACTAGTGTTTTAAAAATGGATACACACGATTATACCAATTGCCACTCAAGTATATATACATTCTAGTTTATTTACCGTTGGTTTCTGAGACCGAAATCTGTGTATGCAACATATCGTCATCCCTGTCTTTGACAAACAGAGATAATTTTGTTTTAAACGTTTTTTTGTCTCAGAAACCCACAATTACAGGGACTGATTTGTTAATCGATACTTAATAATAAGTAAATTTTTTGCTTGTAATTCGCTTACAAATACATAAATATTTTTTTTATCGTATGCCGATTAACTACGATGTTTTCGTCTTAAATAAAAAGTTTTTTGTGATTTTTTTTTCATGTATGCAAAAAGATAAAACATAATTATGTTTTTAATTGATGTTAAAAGAGACAAAAAGATTGATTAAGAATTTAAAGTTTGTTTTTAAATGTTCACAACAAAGTTTATTTGTAATTTTGGTTACAAATAAAAGTATTAAATATTGAAGTGTTGTTTTATATTAATTAAATTATCTAACCTTGATATCATTGAAGGAGAATTAAAGCGGAAACAATATGTTTTATATGAATACTAGCTGTCGCCCGCGACTCCGTCCATCCGACTCGCGGAATTAAAAAAAAACATTAAGTACCCAATGTGTTCTTTCTGACTATATTCTACATCTGTGTCAAATTTTATCAAAATCTTAAGACTTTCAAACAAACATTTATCCATCCATCCAAACATTAGCTTTTATAATATTAGTAAGAAATAAGATTAAAACAGTGTAAACCCACCTTTACAGAAATACCTAAAAGACTTAAGTAATATTTTATAACTCTAGAACAACGCAGGAGAACAAACATCAAATCACGTTATGGGTTCGAATCCTTTTAAACTCGATACATTTGTGAATGAAACATAAATCTTTGTTGGAATGAGTACAAGATTTATCCAATAAAAATAATTTGCTATTCATCACCATCATCAGCTCACTATACGTCCCTACAGAGGGACTTAGAGCCTACCCTAAATTTGGGTTAACTAGGCCATAGTCAACCACGCAGGCCTAGTGCTGGTTAACTTTCCACATATCTTTGAATCTCTTCTCAGATATTTTCTATTATTTCTTGAACAAACTATTATTCAAATTTAGTTTTAAATTACTTTTTCAGCAATGGTCACTAGCACTAAATAAGTATCATCATCAAACCCTTATCCCTATTGAGGGTCGGCACAGTATGTACTACTCCTCCATACATCTCTATCAGCCGTTATATCTGAATCTACGCCCTTCTTATATCCGCTTTCACACAATCCATTACTTTTTACGGTCTTCTTCTACCTTTGTAGACTAGGTAAGTATATAATACAAGTAAATAAGACCAAGTAAAATTATATAAATTAGTACGAAGTGCGTAACACTGTAGCCGTCGGCTTTATTTAGGTCACCAGGGGGCGCCTTGACCCCTGCTGACACAAACATTAGCAATGATATCGAGAACAGGTCTAAACATAAATAGAAAGAAATTATGAGAGCAAGAAAAAACGTTTTTGCCTCTTTACCCGACTAATTTAAAATGTAGTTGTTTTTCGAGCGTATGTACGTAGATTTACATACGTGATAATTTAATTAAACGAATCACCGTAGGTTTCCGAGTCTAAAATCAGTTTAAAACATTCCTGATGATGACGATATGTTTTATATAGAGATTTTGGTGTCGGAAACCCACGGTGAATCGCGTTTGACGAGTATTCGATTCGTATTCTTCGCCAAGTGTCAGTTAGTTCCATTTCTTGTTATTTTAATAATTATTAAGTGAATTAAATTAAGTTTTAAGGTTATTAAAAAGTATTTTGCACATATTTGGCATTACATAAGTTATTAGTTCAAGGTTAACTAACAAGTTAACTATTCAAATTAAGGATAATTGTATAAAATTATTTATATCGGTTAGGTTGGGTTTGGAGCAATAATAGTATCATAATATTGACATAATAGTCCTAGTTATATTTTAAATATTTCACCTAAAATTATTGTTAATTTAATTCGTCACCTATACACAGACGAAGTCTCCCTTCGATGTCTATAAAACCCGAATTTTTATACTTAGACCCAATGAATTGTTCGGAAAAGAATATCATTTAAATGGAAAATACAGTTTCTGGCTTACGATCAATATATTTTCCGTGTATTTTTTTAAATAACCTAACTATTGATTGTTAGAAATTTATTAAACCGTCTTACTGTTTTTTGATGTCAGAAAAACAGAATAACTAATACCGGCGTTAGGTGGTGCGGTTGGGCGACCGCCCAGGGCGCCGGCCAGAAATTGGCGCCACTGCGAATTACAGTCTCACGTAACCCTGATACTCCCCCACCCCTCAAGGCATAATAAAAAAACAAAGCATCATAAAATCTAGCCCAGAGCTCGTACTTAAGTATTTTGTAGCAAATAATGACATAAAATGATTTTGAACTTCAAATTACTTCAATCTTACTAATATTATAAATGCGAATGTTTAGATGGATGGATGGATGTTTGTTTGAAGGTATCTCTAAAACGGCTGAACGGATCTTGATGAAACTTGGTATATAATTAGACTATGTTTAGATTACAGTCTGGAAGAACACATATGTAAGCTACTCACTATGTTTTTTTTTAAATACCGCGCGGACGGAGTAGCGGGCGACAGCTAGTATTTCAATAAACAATTAATTGATAACCATCGTAGTCGAGTAACCATATAAAAAGCTTAATTAAACTTGAAGTTACATATTTAGAGAGCAAATGTAAGAGGGGTTGTTAAATTAGAAATATTAGGGAGCCGCCCCTCGCGCGTGTAAACACAATTTTGAGCATCGTGAAAACATCACAGTTTAAGACTTAAAATATATCAAGAAATGAAACAATAACCCAGATAAATAACGATTTGATTTCATAACTAGCTATCGCCCGCGACTCCAAAAAATACTTAATAACTTCCGGACTACGTTTTAAATGTTTGCCAAATTTCATCAAAATCAAAAAAAAATCCGTTCAGCCGTTTCGAAGATAGCTTCAAACAAACATCCATCGATCCATCCCTTTATCCATCTGGAAATTTCGCATTTATAATATTAGTAAGATAACTTTTGACAATCGCATGATAATTTAAAAAAACAATGCTTGAAATAAACAATACATTCTTGATAGTTTAGCAGATATTGAATTTTTAAAAGTGTACAACTATATTTTGCCGTAAAGTATGAAATGTAAAGTGTATCTTTTCTTGCTGCTAATAGATCTAATAGATATATAAACACGGCTAAACGCTCACGTATATACGTCCGGTGGCGGCACCGACTAGTTTCGAGCCCATCGGGCGCGGTGAGCTGAGGGCCGCGTCCGCGAAATAATACCAGTACCACTCATCCTGATGAAGGGTCCCCGATGGGCTCGAAACTAGTCGGTGCCGCCACCGGACGTATATACGTCAGTGTTTAGCCGTGTTTATATATCTGTTTAGTATAACGTCTCAGGAAAATTTGAATAATTTAATAGTTCTAATAGAGGACACACTTTCTGCTATAACGACAATTCCTGTCCACAACAAAAAATACTTCACTAAAGTTTGTAATAAATCCTTTTGTTTTTTTAACTAATAACTATAGAAAATTTTATTCATGGAATATATTATATTATCTACATTTCGAATATTTTCTAGATTTTTAAACCTTACATTCAAAGTATAGCGCGATAAATTTAAATTTAAAATGAAATACAATAATTTTAAGCCATTTAGATGTTACGTTAAAGCCATTACTAGATTTTTGAAATACAAATAAATATTCGAGTCCTAAAATAATAAAAAAATCATTATTTTTCTTTCTAATATTATTAATGCGAATGTTTCG